TTGTTCAACTTTGTTCTAGAGTGGAACACCAACTTAAGATAAAACCTTTTAGAAAATAGAAAACTGATGTAGATTTAAGAATAAATTTACATCGGTTCTCTGGACAAGAACACAAGAACACAAGAAAAACAAATTAACATTATTAGAAAAATAAATAAATAAATATAGCAATTTCCACTTCAAAGAATCGACTCACCATAACTATATCGCAACCTTCTGATTTTCGCTTCCCCCTATGACCTCTCTTGCTGCGAAAATATTGGGGTTTAGGGTTTTTCAGAGGAACGATTTGGGTTTCATCGTTGTAACGATCAAAGAAAGGATTTAGGTTAGGTTTGGAGAACAAAAAAGCGAGCGGCTAGGGAAACTCCATTAACGGCAGTGAGCTATGGTCGAGGTCCTCCGCAAAATAAATCGCAGAGGTTTCTAAAAACTTCCGCAGTTACATTCGCCGCAAGCAATTAGCGGCGTTTTTAAGAAACCTCTGGTATTGTGAGTGTTTAGCGGCGTTTTTTTAAAGGAGGTTTTAAACCTACACTAATAGTGGAGGTTTTTTAAAGGAGGTTTTAAAGCTATGGTAATTTTTTAAAGGAGGTTTTAAACCTACACTAATAGTGGAGGTTTTTTAAAGGAGGTTTTAAAGTTATGCTAGCTGCAGCGATTTTTTAAAGGAGGATTTTTTTACTGGAGGCTTTAAAGTGGAATAACAGTAAAGATTATTTAGTGGAAGTTTTAAAGTAAATTAACTATTATAATCATTAATCAATATATTTTTGTGGAGTTTCTAATCCTCCCTATTTTCCTGTGTATAATAATTTATACTCATTTTAATTGCATAATCTACATGTATTACAATTTCCCATTTTCACTTTTGATATTTATAAGAAACTTAATGAAAAAAATACACATAAAATGGATGAAGAAATTCCATTACTAATAACCAAAAACACAACATATAGTTCAAAGATTTATATTACTGAATGTCCTATTTTTCATAATTCTTCCTAAATAAAATGGACAACTATAAGGTATACAAGTAATTCTTCAGGAAATGATGATTTGGGCCCTGAAATGGTACCAAGAGCTTGAAGCAACCCCATCACATCCTCAGTATCATTTAAGTAGTACTTAGCTTTACTTGGTTTCTGACCAACAGTGCATGAAAAGATTTCTGGTGCAGGAGAAGAGGTTCCACCGTAAGCTTTGGTTAGTAAGCTCTCAAACATATCCTCGTCAGATCTATCATCCCCTATGCACAGTACAAAATATGGGGATTTCCCTTTCTTGGTCATCTGGGACAGGATGTCCTCTACAATTAGCCCTTTAGTAATCCCCTGCAATGTTGATTAACCAATATTAAAACACATGAGAATAGTCATATGTTGAGAAATGAAGAGATAGATATGTACCTGTGACTTGACTTCAATAATATGTTTTCCCTTCTTTACAACAAAGGGTTCATTTGCAAAAAAAATTTCAAGATAATCCAATAGCGCCTTGGCTTGCCAAGATCCAAAATCAGGATCAGCATTATAGTAGTGCCATACCAAGGCACTCTCTTTGGTCTCTATATAAGAGCCATCTGTTGCCTCAGTATACATTCTCATCACAGGTTCAACAATTTCTTTCCCAGAAAAATTGGTACTTATATTATTTTTTTCCCAAGTTGACTGTGGACTCCAATACCCTCTGTCACATAGAAGGTTATTATTATATGACAAATGATCTTAAGTACATAATAAGAGTAACATACGCAGAGAAGAAGCAAAACTTTCATCAATGTTCCCATATCTACATGCCAAGGTCCCATGACCCTAGCTAAATTCCTCATTCCCGAAGTAGAACGCATATTTAGTTCATTGTGCCTAAGAGGACTTCCAGAGCCAACTAGAGAAGTGGATAAAACAAATATTGCTGTGAAAATTTCACTGTAACCTTCGATTAGCATTGTCTACATTTTAATTTAGGCTTAGCAATGAAATTTCAAGTTAAAATTTGATGAAGGATTCACTGATTTTAGCTCGTGTAATGGAATGACTACCTGATGCATAAACCAAAGCATTCATTAACTGCCATCTGCACAAACCAAAGCATTCATTAAAATGCACAGCATTAGAACCAAACTAAGTACGTTGGGTTTACACATATACAATAACCTCCCTGTATCCAATATCCTCTAAACAAAACTGATCGCTTCCATCAAAATGCACATATTAACATTAGTACCAAACTAAACATCTCCAATCAAATAAATTCAAAGTGCCCGCTTGCAACAAGGAACAAAATGCCCCAATAATCAAAACGGAACCTCAATCTTCTCACACATGCCTCTAGCAACAAACAAGATTAAAGAATGAACATGTCCCTGTTATTTTAACTAACCATGTGTTTTGGTGAGTTGGGTGAAACACACCAGCACGATTCCAGAAAAGTAAGAATTCAAAGCACTAGCTCCTCTTTGTTTTCTATTTACTAGTTACTTTGTCAATGTTCACTTGATCCTAGATGAGCAAGGTTGCTTGCTATAAGAAAAACCCGGCTTAAGTAATTTTTTAATTAATACGACCACTTATCCAACAATATGTTTAATGTTTTCACTCCACACAAAATACAGAACATTAGTTACTTCAAAGCTAAAACATGTATATATGCTAAACCTCCATCCTTTAAATCAAGAAATCCTTGCAATTAACACTAATATTTATGCAATAAACTATCCTCCCAAAATACTTCTCATTGACAAAGCCGAATCACAAACATGACTGCATTAATATTTTCTATTCCCACAAGCCAAACAGAGTTTCAGTTCCCAAGAGCTGGAACTGAAATCTATCAAATCAACATCTCAGGGCACATTACCAAAGTACAAGTAAATTTGCAGGTAATAGCATGTAGGCATACCAAATGAAACCTAGAATTAGATGGATGTAAGGGCCAAAATTATGTCTAGTAAGAAAACCAAAAACTCTCAAATAGACCAAAAATATAGCAAGTCCTAATCTGATCATTACAAAGGTCCGACGTAAAAAAGTAGTATAAAAATTAAAAAAAAAAAACGAGTGCAAGCAGAACGGCCCGTTCTTCTTGCACAACGGCCCGTTCTCCAAGCAGAACGGCTTTTTCCCGATGCAGAAGAAAAGAGAGGGGGGGGAGCACTTTTGAGTTCTGACTCAGATTCATCAAATTGTGCATAATCACAAGAACACAAGAAAAACAAATTAAAATTATTAGAAAAACAAATTAAAATTATTAGAAAAACAAATAAATAAATATAGCAATTTTCGCTTCAAAGAATCGACTCACCATAACTATATCGCAACCTTCTGATTTTCGCTTCCCCCTATGACCTCTCTTGCTGCGAAAATATTGGGGTTTAGGGTTTTTCAGAGGAACGATTTGTCTACTTTGATGACATTTTAGTGTATAGCAAAACCTTAGACAAACATCTTGGGCATCTAAGGAAAGTCTTAATAATTCTTAGGGACAACCACCTCTATGCAAACTATGAGAAATGTACCTTTTGCAAAAATCAAGTTAATTTCTTGGGCTTCATAGTTGGCAAGGAGGGAGTGCATGTTGACCCCGAGAAAATAAAAGCCATCCAAGATTGGCCCACCCCAAAGAGTGTTGGAGAAGTTAGAAGCTTTCATGGTTTAACAAGCTTCTATAGAAGATTTGTGAAGGACTTCTCCACACTTGCATCCCCTCTTAACGAACTTGTTAAGAAGGATGTTCCTTTCATTTGGGGTGAAGCCCAAGAGAAAGCCTTTGAGACTCTCAAAGAAAAACTCACCAATGCACCCATTCTAATTTTGCTCAAACCTTTGAGCTAGAATGTGATGCATCCGGTTTTGGCATAGGTGTCGTGCTACTTCAAGGGGGACATCCCATTGCCTATTTTAGTGAAAAACTCCATAGTGCCACCTTGAATTACCCCACCTATGACAAAGAGTTGTATGCCCTCATTAGAGCCCTCCAAGTTTGGGAGCACTACTTGGTGACTAAGGAATTCATTATTCACACCGATCATGAGTCACTCAAGTACATTAAAGGGCAAGGGAAATTAAATAAAAGGCATGCTAAATGGATTGAATATCTTGAACAATTCCATTATATTATCAAGTACAAGAAAGGGAAGAATAATGTAGTGGTCGATGCTCTCTCTAGAAGGCATACATTACTCTTCTCCTTAGGATCTCAAATCCTTGGATTTGATAATCTAGAGGAATTGTATGAACTTGATCAAGATTTCCAATCCATCTTTTCTAAGTGTCTCCAAAAGCCTTTTGATGGATTTTACCTACTTGAGGTATACCTTTTTAGGATGGGAAAACTTTGCATACCTCAAGGATCCATTAGGAAGCTTTTGGTCAAGGAAAGTCATGAAGGGGGACTCATGGGCCACTTTGGGGTTGATAAGACCCTAAGTCTTTTAAAATCAAAATTTTATTGGACCCACATGAGAATAGATGTCCAAAGGCATTGTTCTAAATGCATTACTTGTCTCCAAGCCAAATCAAGAGTAATGCCTCATGGACTCTATACACCCCTTCCCATAGCTAGCTCCCCTTGGGTTGACATTAGTATGGATTTTGTGCTTGGTCTCCCAAGAACCCAAAGGGGATTTGATTCTATCTTTGTGGTAGTGGATCGTTTTAGTAAGATGGCTCATTTCATACCATGCCACAAAGTAGATTATGCTAGCTATATTGCTAAGCTATTCTTCAAGGAAGTGGTCTGTTTGCATGGTCTACCCAAGACTATTGTGTCCGATAGGGATGCGAAGTTCCTAAGTCATTTTTAGAAAGTATTATGGGAAAAACTAGGAACTAAGCTTGTCTATTCCACTACGTGTCACCCACAAACCGATGGGCAAACCGAAGTGGTAAATAGATCCTTATCCACATTGTTAAGTGTCATATTGAAAGGAAATAAGAAAACTTGGGATGATTGTCTTCCCCATATAGAGTTTGCCTACAATAGAGTAGTCCACAAGACTACTAATCTATCCCCTTTTGAGGTTGTATATGGCTTTAATCCTCTCACCCCTCTTGACTTACTCTCCCTCACTAATACTACTTCTTTGTTTCACAAAGAAGGCGTATCAAGGGCTGGTTTTATAAAGAAATACCATGAGAAATTCAAGAGCCAAATTGAGAAACAAACCCAAAAATATGCCAAATATAACAAAAAAGGGAGGAAAAAGGTGACTTTTGAAGTTGGGGATTGGGTTTGGCTTCATTTAAGAAAGGATAGATTCCTTACTCAAAGGATGTCAAAACTCAACCCTAGGGGAGATGGACCTTTCCAAGTTCTCTAAAAGATTAATGACAATGCATACATTTTAGATCTCCCCTCTGACTAAGGTGTTAGTTCCTCATTTAATGTTTATGATCTTACACCTTTTCTAGGAATTAATGACATAGATGAACTTCAAGATTTGAGGTCAAATCCTCTTCGAGAAGGAGGGGATGATCGAGGGCCACCCTTGGAACTACAAGTTGGACCCATTACTAGGTCCATGGGTAGGAGGATGGAGGAGGATAAAGGAGATACCACGCCTAGAGCCATACTCATCATGAGTGTGGAATATTGATCCATCTTCTAGGCCCATTTTGAGTAGTGTAGGATTTTATTATTTTATTCCTATTTTACCCTTGTACTTTGGGGTATTTTAGTCTTAGAATTTATTTTAATTGTATTTCCAATTTTACCCTTGTATTTTGGGGTATCTTAGTCATAGGATTTACTTTCTTTTGTATTTCCCATTTTACCCTTGTATTATGGGGTGCTTTAGATCATAGGTTTTTATTTTTGGGCTAAGGTATTTGATTAGGGTGGGAACAAAACCTAGACATATTTTTTGTGGCTCTTGGACCTATTTTTGGTGTTAGAAAGGCTTAGGCCCAAGTGGAGGGCAAAGGTTGCATGGTCTTATCATGCACCTAGATGTAGCCTAACTAATCCCAAAGATTCCATCCTTGGCCACCAAGTTGCATCTAGGGTTAATTTGCATTTCATTTGGTGTGCATTTGGCTTGTGAATTTCGGCCATGCACTCTCCAAATGCAACCCTAGATGCCTCCCACTCCTATAAATACCCTAGGTTATGCATCATGTAAATACTTTGGAATATATGAATTTGAGTGAGCATTTTTTCCTCAAATCCTCTCCTTAGTCACTAGGTCAATTCGGCCTACCTCTCTTATCTCCTCCTTAGAGTGAGTTTAGGGATACCTTGAATGGCCTTCACGTCCACTTAGTGAAGAAAGCCAACTAGAACACCCAAAACACCATCCTCCCTTCATTTCTCATATTCGCCCAAGCCATCACCATTTACGCCCACCTTCCTTTTTGCCTCACCCTTGAAGGACATCCACCCTCTAAGGTCACTATCTTGGCCTTGGCAAGGAGCTCCTCTTCACCATTGACGTTTGTTCATCCCCTTGGTGGAAGGAGTCCATCAACATCCCATTCGTATGCATAGAGCCTTCACTATCAGACAACGGTCAGTCAAAAAGGGTTTATGGAAAGAAGAAAAGGGAGGGGATCAACATTATAGCTGTTTCTATCATTCCTTAAAGGGTCAAAGAAACATCAAAAGCAAAAAGGATTTTTGACAAAATTCCTACAAGCTATGCAAACCTATTTCCTCAGTTACTAAAGGGTTTGATGTTGGTGAAAACCCTATCACAAAGAAAGCAGCAACCGCCTTACCCACTATGGTATAGGCCCAAAGAAACTTGCGATTATCACTCCGGGGCAGTAGGGCACTCCATCAAAAACTACAAGGCCTTGAAGCTTTGTGTACAAGAGCTCATCAACACCGGGTAGCTCAAGTTTGAGGCTAAGCTCAAGTTTGAGGCTAATGCACTAAATATCAATGAATGGCTAGGATGAGTAATAATCTTGGAATGGTCTGTTGAAAAGCTGTTAGAGATCCCTCTTTGAAAAAAATTTGCTCAACTCATGACCTTCGCCCATGGTCACGAGTTCATACAAAATAAAGGCTTGTATAAATTTTTTACATTCATCAATAACACACGTCATTTTTACAAATCTCTTTTATTTTTTTCTCTTTCTTCTCATGTGTTAAAGTCTAAAACCAATTACAATACCCCAAAAACAAACATGACTGAAGATAATAAAATGGATCAAACTCTGAACATCTACGACGCATTATCTGAGTCTGAGGTAGATAAGGAGATTATTTTTTTAAATACACAAAGATAAGAAAATAATTAGATGCACAACCATAAGATTCTAATTAATTGCATAAGAGGAGTCTTACACAAAAAAACTTCAACTCAATTTGGTCGATAAAGGAAGCACAAATCCTAGTCCATGAAAGGACTCTCAACACCCATAGGCCGGGGTAACATCTTTCTCCTTGGTGTATGGGACGGAGGCAGTGTTACTTATCAAAGAAGACCCAAACACCTGGGTCCATATGTGTTTAAACAATCTTCATTAAAAAGACACTGGTCCTCCCTGACGTGGATGGCGAGAAGCTGTGTCGCTCAATGAACTTTAACGAAGCAAAAAAGTATTATGCCTAAAAAACATCGCTTGCAAAATCTCACTAGGATGAAAACTTGTAAAGGGCATCCTACGCAAAAGTTAGGGTAAAAAAATATCAAATCAAAAGTTCCCGCTAGGATATGTCCTAGGCAAAAATTAAGGGTTAAAAAAAAGATAAAATAGCAAGTGACGACTCTCCAAGTTGAAAGCCAAAAGGCGGCTTGAATATTTCTACAAGAGGCCAAAATTCTACGAAGACTCTGCCCGAGACTCAGACATGTAGTCCAAGATAAGTAAGAGAATGATTATAATTATTATCCGAAGAAATGTTTGTTTAAAGACTTAAACACTAACCTACCTCGGTTACACATTCATCCTAAACACCTTTTGTGTTCCTTTCTATATAAAGCTTTTGAAATTAATAAATTATCCTTTTCTTTCTTTTTTTCTTGTCCAAACATAATGACGTATATTGTTGATGGTTGTCAAAAATTGAAGAAGTACAAAAAAAAGGAAAAAAATGAAAATGACCCGCTGGGATGAAAAACCTACAAAAGGCTTCCTAGGCAAAAATTAGGGCAAAAGAAGAAAGCAAAAATACCCAGTAGGATTCATCCTAGGCAAAAGTTATGGTTTCTAAAACAAAAAGAAAAAGAGAGGACCCCTAAGATAGCTTAATGCATTAATCGGCTGATATGACTAAAGTTGCGCACCAACTAATCAAAGCAACCCCTTTAAAGGAGAACAGGAAAGCCACCTTTCGAAAATCCAAGTAAAAATACACTACATGCCTTCAAAAGCATTTCATACACTTAGAACGTTTTCTTTACCCTAGGGGAATTATTCAAAATATACAAAGATTAGCATGTT